CAAAATTTCCATCTTTTTCTGTTAGATGGGAGTAACCTACCTTTGTAATTACCGGCATTTGCGAAGAATCCGCAAGCATAAACCAAAAATGCCTGGAATATCGAATCTTTTCTAAAGACAAAGAATTTTTACAATTTCAACAACAACAAATTTACTGTAAAATCATCGGCACTGACGCCAGCTGCTAGTGCGGCAGCTCTGAGCTCTTCAACTGGTTCAGCGGAAAAGACACGATTCAACAGTGAGAAAATTAACGGTGCTTCCGGACTTGACTGAATCAATGCTATCAAGCCACCATTCCATGATGCCTACAAAATAAATGATGACTTGGTCAAAACTGATTTCAATTTTAACCACTGTTATCTTCCCCAAAAATGTGTGAGCCTTTATTACCTGGCTGCAGTAGTGCGCATACAATTTTTCCTTGTCTGTTAGATTGTTAAACGCTGTAACGCACTTCAACTCACCGATCGGCTGATTGTTTGGCAAAACAAAGTGTGTTTTATCAACACTACCTCCCACCATAATGGATTTCGCTAAAATATAGACAATTCAATAGAATAAATTTATCTTTTTTCTTCTCGTTCCACCATCATCATCAATTGATGTTTAATGTACTTGCCGGAAAAATATGATGCAATTAACAAAAAATTCTGTCAAAAAAGTAAATTCTTTCACCCAAATGAGATTAACTTGTGCATTTATTTTGTGCCAACTGTATAGAGTTTGTAATGTTCTGTGTCTGAATAATTTGATCAAAAAAACTTTGTTCAACAACGATGCCACTCCAAGTCTCCGGTTTGAAAATCATTTTTAAAACAGACACTTTAGAATAATCGACTTGAAAATGCACATGAGAATTCCGAAACCACTTCGTTGTAGCATTTCACGAATAAATTCATTCTGATTTGGAAATTTTAGATAAAAAATTAGAATTGAAATAAATTGTAAATCGAAGCGCGTGCGAGTTACTAAGTACAAGTATAAGAATACTTTACTTATATTGTATTTTCGAGCGAAGTGTCGTCATACCACCAATTGTTCATGCATTTAATTATTTCGAAATGAAAAAAAAGAAAACTCATTAAAAATTTAAATTATTTCCTTGTGAGACA